CCAGGAGACTATACTGACGATCATAGTGTCCTGGGAAGCTATACACCAAGTTGGGTATGCGTGTGCGTTGAGTGATCTAGATTATGAAGGACGTAAACAGTGCACTAGTTTTACATAAGAATACTTCATACTTCACCACCCCCAAATTTCCTGTAGATGAAGCACTAGTTTTACATAAGAAGATGAGTAGAAGATAAGATGAGTTATATCTTCTGATGTCTAGTACATAATCTAACGCTTTTAAATTTCAAGTTAATCCACATTGACTTCAGTTGAGGTACTTAAAACCACATTATATTTAAAAGATGCTATTCGAAAATGATGACACCAATTACTGCAAGGTGGCACTACACCTAGCGGCCCAACCATGAAGATCAGCAGAGTGGGGAGTACTAGAAAAATGGGCATGTTCGACAACTACAAACTACAATCATTTAAAATCCTCAATGCCCTTCAGAATTAATTTCAGTTTTCTTTGATTAAAATATGACTCTTAAAGGAAGATGGTTGCTTGAATTAAAACAGAAATAAACATGCAGGAACAAGAGTGTTCAATTGCTTACGCAGAAAGTCAGAACACAAATTAAACTACTCTTAAACATACCCTGTGCATGAAATATTTCCATGTACTTGAGTCAACACAAAGGGTGTTATTACTACATGGAAATTAAACACGAAACATTACAAAATATGAAATAAGGAATAAGAGAATAACTTATGTGTTACTTTCAGGTTTCAGATCTTCACTATTGTCTGCACCCTGTAACAGTTCTGAAATGAAAGGAGAATACATCAATAATACGTAATACCAAATTCAATGATCAGGGTAAACGAATTTCCCACAGAAGTGAGGCATTTTCTTACCTCTAGGCTTATATTTGCGAGGGCGTCCTCGACCACGCTTACTTTCACTGGAAGTAGTTGTACTACAGGTAGACGTCTTGGACTCAGATTTTTTTGTCTTTGAAGTTTTATGTGACAGTTGCTGGAAAGATAAGGAAAGTTTTCATGTTAAATTTAGAAGCTGGTAATCATGAGATTATAATCATGAGATTATAATCATGTGCATGTGGCTCTCGCCAATAGCTTCTGAATTGCTGCAAAATGCTGCTTCCTCTCTTCATCTCTCTCTTTCTTTGATTTCTTCTTTGCCTTCCTTTCTTTGTCGTTCACATTTTCCCCTGATTTTCTTGCCTTTTTAACATCCTGCAAATAGATTTGAATTGCATGAAGTACCAAGTAGACAGTGATGAGCGTATTTTCCGTATCTGAATTCTTTAGCGATTTTATCTCTACTAGCCACATGTGAAATATAATAAAAATGCTATCAGTTCCCGCAATTTCATTTCTAAATTGAGGAAAGTTTTAATTTTCCTGCCTACTGGTTTGATATCAATTTGATATGTGTATTTATCACTAGGAAAGAATAAGTATTCAAGAATATAGGACTTTAAAATTATTGGACAAAGAAAAAATCTTACTTTGTGAGATCCTTTGCTGCATTGGCTGTCATTGGAGCTTGCAATGCTGCTCTCACCGTCACTGCTGTCGCCACTGCTGGAGCTACTATCACTGCCACTCGAGCTGCAGCTGCTTTTGCTGTCGCCGCTGCTTGAACTGCTACTTTCAGAAGAAAGACCGGTTGATTTTTTCTTCCTTTTCTTTGTTTTATTTTCCTTAATTTCTTCTTTCTCTTTATTTACTGCTGAATTACTAGAATCTCCTTTTATCTTTCCATCAGACTCTCTCTTCACCTTTTCTCCTTTTTCTTTTTTTTTCAGTTCTGAAGTGTCTTCTTTTACCTTTCCATCAACCTCTGAATTAGCAGTTACTATCTTTACATCAGCCTCTTCCTTTATTGTATGCTTAGCCTGTTTTTTGTCTTCCTGAACCATTGAGTCAGCTTCCTTTTCCTCTACATTAACTGATGTAGCAATCTCAGTCTGTCGGTGGTCTTGTTTTCCTGCATACAGTTTAGTCGATTCAACCACCATCTGACCTTCGCCATTGACTGGGTGATTGGGTATGGGGGGAACAGGGAACTTTGAATCAGCAGGGAATGGATCAGTTGAAGGATAGTGAGAGAATGATTGAGAAGTGAGATCATTCCCTGTTGGATTTGATGGGTAAGGATGTTGGGAAAGCTCAGAGAAATAATAATCATGAGGCGGGTGTGGAGAATAAGGGTCTCGATGATCACTCCCTGTTGGATTATATGAGTAGGGATGTTGAAGAGGCTCAGAGGGATAATAATAATTGCCCATAGTATCATGATGTGGGGGGTGTTGAGAATAAATTTCATTCTGATAAGGTGGGTATGGGGGATGAGGAAGTGGTACTTCGTTCACAGAAAGCTCGTAGGGTTGGTGGGAAAAATGTGCATGGGGATCGAGATATGGCTGATGTTGGGAATATGGGTCATGGTGATGGAGTGGGGTTAGATAAGGATAGGGTGCTTCATGAACATGACCATAGGGGTGGTGAGAGTAATCCACAGGGTCATAAGCAGACTGATATGCTTCATCGACAGGATAAGCCTCGGGGTAAGCAGACTGATCAGCTTCGTAATTCACATCTTGCTGACGAGCTGTCCGCCTTTTCTTGAAATTATGTCGGGGCATAGCTGTGAAAGAGAAATAGAAATGAATGAAAGGAATGAATGGAAGATCAAGCATAGCGAGGCTCAATGAAGCATAACGTGTCTTTGTCACATAATTTAATAATAGAATGAGAAAACACATAAATTGAGGAATTGACGAATAACAGAATATCCCTTGTCCTGAAAGCTACTGATATTAGAAACCGGGTTCGAACGTAAAACACAATAAACGTGTACGAGAGGTTATGACAATCGAACGGAGGCATATTGCTTCCAAAGGGACGATGATTTGAGACCTTTACATGAACTATGTCACACGAGCAGGTAAATACCCTAAAAGCCACTATTGGTTGTTAGGAAATCGGTATCTCACCACTTGCTGTAAAGGGTTCTCCACCTCGGCTGTAAATCGAACAATCACGTGGCTATAAAGGTGCAACAAACGGAACGGATATAGAGAGGAACAAGAACAAGAACCTGTCTGTCGGCTTGTCGCCTTGTTCTTCCTTCTACTTTCGGTGTGACCGAGACACGGAGTGCCCAGGGTTATGTAACCTGTCGTATTGTTCTATTCTCCTACACAAAAGCGAATTGCGCTGCCCGACTGGGCTGGAAGCATGAAAGGTAACAATAGTTTAGAAAGAAGAGAGTGTGTCTGATTTCTATATCATGTCCCCTGGCAGCGCTGGTCGCGGTGATGCGCCTATGAGGGTAGGCCTGTGCGATTTTTCGATTAATCGATAACTCGATTCGATTATTTTAGTAATTGACGATTTTTTTGGAGGGTCGATTTCGATTATCATAATCGAAAATCGAAATGAAACATCAATTATTGACATTGGTCGATTTTTGACTTTTTTCGATTATTGACCTTTCAACGATTATTGAATTTTAACGATTATTGA